AAAGGATGCGAACTATCTTTTGATCATATGTTTCAACAACAAAATCTGCTTCATGTTGAGAACCACTTAGCACATGATCAATTTATATATCCTTCATTAATTGTTCGTGCTTCATCTTTCAACAGTTTAACATCTTTGCTAATGCCTTCACTTTTTATCCGATCCAGCCTTTTGCTTCTATTTGTCTTCAATGCTGATGCAATTTTTTTAAAAAAAAAACAACACTAGGATTGCAAACAAAACTTCCTTTTCATAAAACATAGAGAAACAAAACCTTAAAACTCAACTACCTCATAGGCACATTAAACAGGACACTACAATACCTTACAACTTATCAAAGTTTTGAGAAGAAAGCTACAAGTGGAATGTGAACCGTGGAGAGAAGAAGAAGATAGAAGACCGAGACAAAACGAAAGAAGTAAGGTAGAGGAAGATAGCTCGAAAACTATTACAAATCCGCAAGTTATAGTGTAAAAAAATTCTTCATCATTCTCCTCTTTTTCCAGCAGCAAACAATCCTATTTATAGGGGGAAAAAGGTCCAAATGCCCACATAAATGTGCCACTCCAAATAGCTAATAGAAGCCACTTCTCTAGAAGATAAAACATTAGTCTAGAAAACAGCGAGGGGAAACGAACAGCCGCCAGTAGGAATTCTGCATGGGAAACCAACAATAGAGATTCCAAAACTGCAGGAAGAACAAGAGGGGAAATAGCCAGCAGCAGGAAATCTGCTTGGAAAATCATCAAACAGAGAAATTGAAATCTGCATGGGAATCATAAAGCAGCCAGCCAACATGGGCCAAGCCTATTAAGGAAAAAAAACATCCCAAGATTAAATTCCCAATTAGCCATCAAAGAGCAAGGAAACAAATTCAACATAAAGCAAAAATAAAAAAGCTATCTTTGACTGCATCAATTATCCCCCGGTGGAAAAATCTCATCCCCTGATGGAAGCATCCCATAGAGTCTTTTAATCTAATTTTTTACATTCATAATGGTCTACTCCTTAAAAAAACTAGTAAAAGATATTAACCGTTATGAAAAGAAGGAAGAATGTAGATAAGAAAAGAGAACTTTAAAAAAAAAAAATAAATAAATGTGGAAACCCTATCCTTACTCAGTTATCGTGTTAGAAAGTAAAAATATAAAAAAACTACTTCGAATTTTATTATTATTTTTATGTATAAGTTTTGGAGGTATATTTAGACCATTTCAAAGGTGTTACATATAAAAATATATCAATGTTAATTACACAAAATAAAATAAAATAGAATAACCCTAAAAAGGGGGGCGACCGCAGTTATATTTAGGAGAGGAGCATATGGATTACAATTAAAGGGCTATGAGGGAGAAGATCTAACGTCCAAGTTCCTCAATTCATGTGTTTTAGGATTCTTATTATGATTGGCAGCATAGTGTGACATCCTATGTTGCACGGATACTCCTATTTACGAGGCGTGCTGTATCGGACACGTGTCGGATACGGATACGCCTCCTAATGGTTTCGTGCTTTGAGCTTGCTAGAGATTTTAGCTGGGTTTCTTTCCTCTTGTATAGACCTGAAGGGATACAGTGTTTGGATTTGTTGGGATTTATCTTGTGGAGCAGATAAAAAATAGATGATTCATCAAACTTATCTTCTTGTTAGAAGTTCTCCCCTGGAAGACGAGTTTGAAAAAAAATGTTTCTGATCAAAAGTCATTTTCTTTAAGGTAAGAAATTTTTTTGGCATGATGATAACACTTGTACCTTTTTTTAGTGGAGGAATATCCATTAAAAATATGTTTTAGAGGTCTAGGATCCAGTTTACCTCTATATTTTTTTGTGGATGTGGACACAAGCAGTACATCCAAATACTTTTAGAGGAATTTTGAAGATGGAGCTATTTGTATGGAAAAATTCTACTAGATAATTTAAACATAATTTAAATGACTTTTGAATCTAATCACTCTTGAGGGTATTCTATTGATTAGATAAGTAGTATTTAAGAGAGCTTCTCCCTAGTTTCTTTTTGGTATTTAATTTTGGATAAGAGTCCTTATGAATTTCATAATATGATGATTTTTTATGTCACCCTATTTTATTGGAGCATATTCGGGCACGTGGATTGGTGAATGATTTTTTCTTTATGAAATAATATAGATAATGTGTGATTAAAGTAATCACCTATGTTAGACACAGATACGACACGATATAGATACGAGACACGTCAATTCTTAAAAATACTAGATACGGGTATGGCGCGAATACTGCATTATGATTTATAAATCATACGTAAAAATTAAGAAAGCAATCAAAACATAATATTTGAAATTACAAAAAAAAAAAAAAAATGAAAGCAACATCAATTGTAGCCTTGCAGCTTATAATATCAAAATAAAAGTTAGTATTAAATGTCTAATACAACAACAAAAGCATAAACATAAATTGTCTAGTACATGAAGTTTCAACTATTTAATAAAAGGAATGATCTGATTAGCTTTTTCAGTGGTTTGTTTTTGAACTTATATATCATCTTCAATAAATATCATATCTTCTAATTCAGGCTCATTAAGTGAAAGATTAGCAATTTCTAATATTCCCATATCATCAAGAGACTCAAATCCAACTCGAATATTAGAGAACCTCGCTCGCAGCCACGGAAGTAAATACGGCGTCTTTTTTTGTTTTTCAACAGACACGCGTATCGAAATACGCATCCTTTTGAAATTAAATAGTATTTTAATTGGATACGGAAAAACTATATATGACACGTATCGGTGTATCAGATACAACACACCTTCATAAATAGGTGTATCGGTGCAACATAGGTAATCACAAATATTATTTGTCGAAAATATCTTGATGTTGATATTAAATTGATTTTTTATCATTGAGGTGATGGTGGGGAAGATAATCTTGACATCAGATTTTTGCTTGATAATATATTCTCATATCATTTGAGAATAATCTTCAATAAAAGTGATAAATTCAGTAGCTCTAGAAATGTTAGTTTTTTGGAGGGTCCTCAAATATCAGAATAAATTATCATAGTAGAATTAGATGATCCAAAATCACTTTTAAGAAAAAATATAATGCGATGATATTTTGTAATTTTAGAAGTCTTTGATGCATTTTGGAAGTAAAAACAACAAAATAGATAGAAGAAAATGCTGGAATACAAATATGGGAGCTGATTTTTTATTATTCTTTCAACCAATAACGAAAGATACAATTAATACTATTCGAGAGATATATCGGCTCTCCCATAAATCCTAGCAACCGCTAGGAAACTCACACCAACAAAAGGAAAATAATAGCTCCCTGGCTTGGTTGTGGGCCCCCTATCTTATGAACTTCTCCTCAAAGACACACCTTGCCCTCAGGTTGAAAGGATGCGAACTGTCTTCTGATCATATGTTTCAACAACAAAATCTGTTTCATGTTGAGAACCACTTAGCACATGATCAATTTATATATCCTTCATTAACTGTTAGTGCTTCACTCTAGAGAATATGTCATCTTTCAACAGTTTAACATCTTTGCTAATGCCTTCACTTTTTATTAGATCCAGCCTTTTGCTTCTATTTGTCTTCCATGCTCATGCAATACAAAAAGAACAACACTAGGATTGCAAACAAAACTTCCTTTCCATAAAACATAGAGAAACAAAGCCTTAAAACTCAACTACTTCAAAGGCACATTAAACGGGACACTACAATACCTTACAACTTATCAAAGTTTTGAGAAGAAAGATACAAGTGGAATGTGAACCGTGGAGAGAAGAAGAAGATAGAAGACCGAAACAAAATTAAAGAAGTAAGGTAGAGGAAGATAGCTCGCAAGCTATTACAAATCCGTAGGTTATAGTGTAAAAAAATTCTTCACCATTCTCCTCTTTTTCCAGCAGCAAACAGACCTATTTATAGGGGGAAAAGGTCCAAATGACCACATAAATGTGCCACCCCAAGTAGCTAATAGAAGCCACTTCTTGAGAAGATAAAACATTAGTCTAGAAAACAGCAAGGAAAAACGAACAACCACCAGTAGGAATTCTGCATGGGAAACCAACAATAGAGATTCCAAAGCTGCATGGGGAGCAAGAGGGGAAATAGCCAGCAGCTGGAAATCTGCTTGGAAAATCAGCAAACAGAGAAATTGAAATCTGCATGGGAATCATAAAGCAGCCAGCCAACATGAGCCAAGCCTATTAAGGAAAAAAAAAACATCCCAAGATTAAATGCCCAATCAGCCATCAAAGAGCAAGGAAACAAATTCAACATAAAGCAAAAATAAAAAAAGCTATCTTTGACTGCATCAATTATCCCCTGGTGGAAGAATCTCATCCCCTGGTGAAGTATCCCATGGAGTCCTTTAATCTAATTTTTGACATTCATAATGGTCGGCTCCTTAAAATAATTAGTAAAAGATATTAACCATTATGAAAAGAAGGAAACCCTATCCTTACTCAGTTATCGTGTTAGTAAGTAAAAATATATTAAAAAAAAACTACTTTGAATTTTATTATTATTTTTATTTATAAGTTTTGGAGGTATATTTAGACCATTCCAAAGGTGTTACATATAAAAATAGATCAATGTTAATTACACAAAATAAAATAAAATAGAATAACCCTAAAAAGGGGGGCGACAACGGTCATACGCAGGAGAGGAGCATATGGATTGCAATTCAAGGGCTATGAGGTAGAAAATCTAATGTCTAAGTTCCTCAATTCATGTGTTTTAGGATTCTTATTATGATTGGCAGCATAGTGTGACATTTATTCCAACCCTAGGGTAGAAATGTTGCTAGCGGGCCATGGACGTTGAAGGAGGCAGAGGAGTGATTCCCATGGAGGTGGGAGCCCACGATCTTTAACTCATATATCTTAATCTCATTTCACTTAACTGTTTTTCTTATACTGAATATTGCACATTAATCTAAATTGGTTCTGAAGTCATACATATACTGTTTATATTGACCAGCTTTATCTTAAGAAATTTCATACTGTCTTTGCAGATCATGGCCATGGTTCAAAGAGGAGAGAAACCTCCAAACATCAAGGTGTGTAATCCTTAATAAACGTTTCACTTAAATTCTTCTTGTAGCTTTAATGCTTCATATAATTGAATTCAAAACCACACATTATTTGTTAATACTTAGGAGATCAATGATACGCCCCCAAATCCTAATCAACCACCATCAAAACCACTTATAGCTCCAAGGACAAAGGTCTGGGTTCGTCAATGGGAATATTTTTTTTTTTTTTCTGATATTCCACTAGCTGATTAGATTAAATTTCAACAGCCATGGGAGATCACACAGCAAATTTCGGTTTCTCAACCACAGGAGAATGGACAATCTCAAGATATTTCATCAGAGCCTTGGTGGAGAAAGAAATCTGTTAAGATCACAGAATTAGAACCTGAAGGTGAGGAGCCATTAAGACAATTGACAACAAATGATCGGCCGGCAAGCCAACGAACATGGGTTCCACCGCAGCCACCATCTGTTGCAATACCGGAATCTGCGGCCGCCATTCGACACCCGAAACCTTCGCCGCCTATTCCAGATCTCAGTTCCGGTGATGAGAAAATGAGTAAAAGCTCCATGAATAGCAATGTTGTTTCTCAACAGAGTGAGATAGAAGAAGTAGAAGAGAAAGATGATGGTGTATGACTTGAAGGCCTTTGGCAAGTTTCAGGTATCTATGTCTGTTAGTTTTTAAGTATTTACTAAGCTCCATTGCTTCTGCATTCGATGTGTATTTGCCTGCAGTTAAGCATGCAGAACAGAGCATTTGAAATCATGAAAATTGAGATGAACACATGAGAAAGGTGATGATTAACCTGTGTAATATATAATTATTTGAATAATCTTGAGATTATCTTATATGCTTTTGTATAACTGCCCCCTATATTTTCTTACATAAAACTTTCAATCACTTGAGAAGCCCCTTAATTGGAAAAATTATTATGTACGGACGGTGTCCGGTTCGGAGACCAATCAAAACGTACCACGTCACCCAGTACACAGCATTACGAATGCCGGTACCGAGCAAAAAAAAGTGACGTGTGACATTCTGATTGGTCTCCTGATGTTGTCTGGGATCCGCACAGAATAATTTTCCCTTAATTGTGATGAGTCACTATTTGGATACTTTGCTTGAAATAATGAGATATAAATGGTAGCTTTAGAAAGTGTCTTGTATTTATTGTCCATTACAGCATCTATCAATCTGCCTGCCAGATTAGCTATTGCTATGATTTGATAATGGCCACTACCAATTTAAAAAAGTTATCCCTTTGTATTTCAGGGAAGAAGTCCACAGCACTTACTTTGTCAGACTTTTGTAAAATTAGTTGGTAGTTATTTAATTAGTATGAAAAAAAATATATTTTAAAACAAAAATATTTTGGGTATTTAAAAATTTTATGGGTTGTAATTTTATAGCTGTTATTATAAATATTTATTTAGGATTTATTAGCAGGAGCAACTTAATTATTCTAGTTGTAAAAAATATTTATTTTTTCGTAGAATTTTTTTCAAAAGCAATGAGAAAGCAGCATTCTGAAAAAGAAAATAGCGAGAAATTTGTTCCAAGTGATTTTTTAGGCTTCGTTTGAGACTTTTTTTTTTTTAATTTTGTATTAGAAAATTATTTTAAGGGTAAGAAAATCATCTCATTATTTAGGATAGTTTTCTTATTATTTTATAAAGCAGTTTTTCTATATAAAATTTTTAATTTGAAAATATTTTACTTGCAAGAATAATTAGTCCGAGCTGACACTGGACGGCGTCTGAAGTTGAATGAGAGCACACCGTCTTAATTTTTTATTATGTATCGGATGATGTGACGTGCTCTCATTCATCTTCGGATGGTTCAGTTCGTATAGAATAATTTCTTTTCAAACGAAGCCTCCGTTGCAAAGTTTTTTTTTTTAAAAAAAAAAGAGCAAAAAATTAGTCAAAACGGTAACAGTTTATTAAGGCATAAAAAAATGCCACATAGCAGAGAGCTATGGCAATTTATACAATTTAAGCTTATTAGAAATTGATGTGGTTTTAAATTATGAAGGGCTGGCGAGTTGGAAACACATCAGGGATTATTTTAATTTATAATTAAAAAATGTCTCGAAATTCAATGATGACTAATTTTTTAATTGCTAAATTTATTTTGACATAAATAATTATATTTAAAATTTATATAATATATTTTAAAATGAATTGACAGAAGATTTTCTTGATTTAATTTATATAATAACATGTCTAAAAATTATTTAGTTTATTTTGAGATTAGTGATGTATATGAAAATTTAATATTAATTTTTTTAAAAGAATTTTAAAATTTAGAAAATATTTTGACAGATTTTTTAGTAAGTAAAAATCAGAATTAATGCGATGTGCGGGGCAGCTCAGTGGTTGAGCGCAGTCGTTGCCTCCCCGCCGGCTTCCGTTCGAATCTGCAAATCATACAAAAAAAAATCAGAATTTATATGTGAGTTAGTCAATCATGATTTTTATAATTAATGATGTCAATTAAAAAATATTGATGAAGTTTTCATTGATATTTTTATTTAGTCGTTTATTAGTAAATTTGGATTTTATCTCAATTTATTTGAAAGAAGAATTAAATTAATTAATCATATTGCTTTATTCTATTTGATTTTTTTTCCAACTTTTATTTAAATTTCATATATTATGCTATACTGTTTTAATTACAAATGTTGATTTTTTTCCTTTGGTTTAATTAAATTTTATTTAGACATTTATTTTTTAGAGAGCTTAAAATTAGGTTAAGATATTTAGTATAATTTATATGATAACATGTTTAAAAATTATTTAATTTATTTTGAGATTAGTGATGTATATGAAAATTTAATATTAAATTATTTTTAAAAGAATTTTAATAGTTTGTAAATAAATATGATATAATTTTATTTTTATCAATGTAAGCATCCTCTATGCAAGAAAAATAGATACTATGTTCCTTCTTCAAATTTGTATAATTTGAGAAGGTGCTATTATTGTTGATTTTTTTCTAATCCATTTTAATTCCCTTAAATAATTAATTGGATTGATAATCTAGTTGCAATACTATATAATATCTTTTAAAATTTATTTGTGAAATTTGAAAATGATTAAATTATTATTTTTGGAGGAATTACATGCATAAAAATTAAAACTATCATATTTATAAAATTAACATTTTTTTTGAACTATTCAACTCAGTGTATTTGCTCTTGAAATGATCCAATCATTATAAATTTGGTAGAAGAAAAAGAAACTATTGTGATTTTATTAGGGGTGTCAATTCGGGTCAGCGGGTTGGGTTCGGGTCGAACCCGAAACTGACCCGGCACTGTTCGGGTCAACCCGAACCCGACCCGTTTTTAAAAATCGGTCAGGTTTCCTGACCCGAACCGACCCGATTCGGGTCAGGGTCAACCCGACCAGACAAGAATGACTCGAATTTGATCTAAAATTGCTAATTTTCGGGTCAAAATCGGGTCAAAATTCAATTTTCGGGTAAAAATCGAGTCAAAATCGGATCAAAAAAGGGTCGACCTCGGGTTTTCGGGTCACATATGTGTTTTCGTGTCACTTTCGGGTCAATTTCGAGTTGCTGGGTCAACCCGAACCCGACCCGATTTTTAAAACGGGTTGATTTGTTCAACCCGAACCCGACCCGATTCGGGTTCGGGTTGACCCGAACCTGGATTTTTCCGGGTCGGGTTCGAGTCGTGTTTCGGGTCGTGTCAAAAATTGACATCCATAGATTTTATTATGAGTTTTAGTATTTGAATGATAATTAAAAAAAAAAGTTTTAAAAAATATTTTTTCTTAGACTATTTTTATTTTTGAAAGAATTACGAATATACATATATATAATATTTATATAATTTAATGTGGTTGATTGGCGTCTTCTGATATATTATGATTTTAAGTGCATATGAAAGAGGTGTTTTTTTTATATACTTTTTTTAGCATATTTTTAATGCATATCAGTGAGCAACTCATTTTGCACAGATCAGATACTAAGAACAGTCAATGGTCACAAAATTAACATTGCAAAAACTGAAAATATTAACAAAATTATATAAATTCTTTTGTCTTTTGATGCAAGAACACATTTTGCTGCCCAGGATTTCCTTTTCGTCTGATCTATGCGCTCTTCTTCCTTTTTCATTAGCCTCCCAAACTTATAAAGCTCTCCATTTTTATAATTTCTATTGGTAAGCCTCCTTCTCTCTGCGTCAGCTTCGCGGGCTTGGGTATGGCGTTGAAGCTGCCATTGCCGGGGGGAATTGGAGGTCTCTCCTTCTTGGAATCCGGCAAAGGGGCTTTTACAAAACTCAAAGGTAGGATTTTTAGTTCTAATTTTCTTGAGTGGAATATTGTTATTCGAGTTTGTGTTTCTTTCTCTTCTTGCAAGCTTTTTCTGTTAGAAAAACCCTCCATTTATCGTTCTTTGTCTCTCTAATTTACTTGGTCGGAGTTGGAGATATCGCTCTGAAGTTGCCACCGCCGGTGAAAATCAATCGGAGGGATTTCCTGCTTGGAGTCCGGCTGCGATGGGACCTTTGCGCACCTCAAGTGTAGGGTTTTTAGGGAATTCTTCTCCTCTGATTTGGCTGAGGAGAACCTTAATTCGGTTTCAGATAAAGTAGCTTCGTCATCAAACAAGACTGGTTTTTTCTGCTTTTCAGAAGCTAGAAAATCCTCCATTTACCTCTCCATTTCTCTCTCTATAAGCTTTCTCTCTCTACCTTACTTGATCTGCCAGTGCCGGCGGATCTTGTAAGGCTCTCCTTCTTCGATTGTGGCAGAGGGGCTTTCAACAACTCAAAGACAGCTTTTTTAGGGCATTTTGTACTTTTGATTTTCCTGACTTTGACCTTTTGATTAAAGATTTGTTTCAGATAAAGTTGTTCCCAACCCTTTCTCCTTCTGTTTGCTATCCTTTTGGTTTCAAAAATCACTTTTTTCGTTGGGATTTCACAAAATTTAATAGTTTTCAAGTTTTAATCCTCTCAAGATTTATTAAATATGGATTGATTCATTTTCTTTATGTACCTTCAATCAAAACAAAACCTAAAAGAGTCTTGAATCCATTAAATATGAATGATTTTTATGCTTTTATGGAGATAGGAATTCCCTTAAAGAGGAGGGAGAAGGCGGCCGGATGGTCAAATAGAGCAAGCTGCTCAATTCAGCAAGGGCCTCCACCAGCTTGGCCTGGTCGCGCTGTTGTTGAAGAAAGCCGAAGGTCATGGGAAGGTCCTAAGCCTATAGCCATTGTTGGGTCAACTGGATCAATTGGAACACAGGTATGAAGAAATAGTTACTCTCTCTCTCTCTCTCTCTCTCTCTCTCTCTCTCTCTCTCTCTCCTCTTCAGTGAGTGTTTTTTCCTCCTATTCTCCAGACATTAGACATAGTAGCTGAGAATCCAGATAAGTTCAGAGTAGTGGCTCTCGCAGCAGGATCAAATGTGACTCTTTTGGCTGATCAGGTACTTGTGTTACTCTCTAGAGCTTAATCTACAAGGTTTAGACTTCGTTTGGGACGGCTTCGTTTGTACGAGAAAGCTTCTTTAAGAAGCAGAATTAAAGCCGTCCCAAACGAGAGAGATTATTACCGTCCAGAGGCGAATCAAGTGCAACCACGTCATCCAGTACAAAGCAATACCGAGCAACAGTACCGAGTAGGGGATGATGTGTCACATTTTCATTGGGCTCTGGACGTCGTTCGGCGTCCGCATAGAATAATTCATCCCCAAACGAAGCCTTAGTTTCTATTTTAGGACTTTTTTTTTCTTTTGGAAATCTTTGAGCAGGTGAAAACATTCAAGCCCCAGCTTGTTGCTGTTAGGAATGAATCATTGTTTAGTGAGTTGAAAGAAGCTCTAGCTGATGCTGAGCACCAGCCTGAAATAATTCCTGGGGAGGAAGGTGTCATAGAGGTCTGTCTCTTTCTTTTTTGCCTATCATTATCATTACTAATTTAGTTGATTAAGTCATTGCTAAGGTTCTGAGATTGAATATTGTCTACATCATATTTGTGCTTAATTTCATTAAAAAATACATCTTAGATTTGTTATTCGTCAGGTCGCACGGCATCGAGATGCAGTCACAGTGGTCACTGGAATAGTAGGTTGTTGATTAAAGATTTGTTTCAGATAAAGTTGTTCCCAACCCTTTCTCCTTCTGTGTGCTATCCTTTTGGTTTCAAAAATCACTTTTTTCGTTGGAATTTCACAAAATTTAACAGTTTTCAAGTTTTAATCCTCTCAAGATTTATTAAATATGGATTGATTCATTTTCTTTATGTACCTTCAATCAAAACAAAACCTAAAGAGTCTTGAATCCATTAAATATGAATGATTTTTATGCTTTTATGGAGATAGGAATTCCCTTAAAGAGGAGGGAGAAGACGGCCGGATGGTCAAATAGGGCGAGCTGCTCAATTCAGCAAGGGCCTCCACCCGCTTGGCCTGGTCGCGCTGTTGTTGAAGAAAGCCGAAGGTCATGGGAAGGTCCTAAGCCTATAGCCATCGTCGGATCCACTGGATCAATTGGAACACAGGTATGAAGAAATAGTTACTCTCTCTCTCTCTCTCTCTCTCTCCCCTCTTCAGTGAGTGATTTTTCTCGCTATTCTCCAGACATTAGACATAGTAGCTGAGAATCCAGATAAGTTCAGAGTAGTGGCTCTCGCAGCAGGATCAAATGTGACTCTTTTGGCTGATCAGGTACTTGTGTTACTCTCTAGAGCCTAATCTACAAGGTTTAGACTTCGTTTGGGACGGCTTCGTTTGTACTAGAAAGCTCATTTGAGAAGCAGAAAGCCGTCCCAAACGAGAGAGATTATTCTGTGCGGACAGCGGACATAGCTTACCGTCCAGAGGCAAATCAGGTGCAGCCACGTCATCCAGTAACAAGCAGCGGTACCGAGTAGGGGGTGGTGTGTCACATTATCATTGGGCTCTGAACGTCGTTCGGCGTCCGCATAGAATAATTTATCCCCAAACGAAGCCTTAGTTTCTATTTTAAGACTTTGTTTTCTTTTGGAAATCTTTGAGCAGGTGAAAACATTCAAGCCTCAGCTTGTTGCTGTTAGGAATGAATCATTGTTTAGTGAGTTGAAAGAAGCTCTAGCTGATGCTGAGCACCAGCCTGAAATAATTCCTGGGGAGGAAGGTGTCATAGAGGTCTGTCTCTTTCTTTTTGCCTATCATTATCATTACTAGTTTAGTTGGTTAAGTCATTGCTAAGGTTCTGAGATTGAATATTGTCTACATCATATTTGTGCTTAAAATTTCATTAAAAAACACATCTTAGATTTGTTATTCGTCAGGTCGCACGGCATCGAGATGCAGTCACAGTGGTCACTGGAATAGTAGGTTGTGCTGGCTTGAAGGTAACTGGTTTGGTTGTTTTTCTACTTGTTATGTATTTATTGTTCTTCATAAGTTCTAATTTCTAAAGCATGTTCATCATTTTGAGCATAGTTGACTATGATGCATGAGATGCAAATTTCTTTTCAATATTAGTTATTTATGCACTCTTTAAGCATTTCTACTGTATGATTTTTCAGATTAATAAAAAACCAATGCTAAAGTGGTTTAAATTAGTCCAGTTGATCCCAACCTCTCTTTACTTTGGAAAAATTATTCTGTGTGAGTCCGGACAGGAATAACCATTCGTACGTGAATGTACATACTATGTACACTGTGTATCAAATCAATGTAGATACAATGTGTACAATCACATGTCTGGGTGGTTTTTTCCGTTCTGACTCCACACATAATAGGTTCTCCTTGACTTGAGCTTGACCGTGACTCAATTAATCTAGCAGTTCGAACAAGCTTAATTCAATGAGTTATATCAAGCTCATGAGCAAGCTCGTCTTCTTATGAAAAAGGAAGATGAAGGTGAATATGAAGAGTTTCAACAATGGAATCATATAAAGAGAGAAATTTCGGAGAGTTCGAGAAATAGGGAAACAAGGACTTTTATGTTTTTCATAACTTCATATATAGACCTTTAAATTTGAATTTATAGATATATTTAACGTTAATATTTTGTAAATGCGTTGGCTCATAAGCCATGACTCATCGAGTTGTGCTAAGGATCCATTCATTGAGTTGAGCACAAACCAACCAGAAAAACATATTGCATGAGGAGCTTCTCATGAAAAAAAAAATCATGAATGCTAAACAAAAAACAATAAGGCATCTTATAAAACTATAAGACATGTATATAAAACAAACAAGACATTTTTTGGTATACTCTAACAAACAATCACTATCATCATAACAAAATACAAAAGCAATGTTATGCCATTGCAGTCTAGTAACATCATCATCTTTATGAGTAAAGTCCATTATTTTGCTTATTTTTAAAATGAATGATTAGCCGACGGTAGCTGCGATAGAGGCCGGAAAAGACATAGCTCTAGCGAACAAGGAGACCCTCATTGCCGGAGGACCTTTCGTTCTTCCCCTTGCACATAAACACAGAGTGAAAATACTCCCTGCTGATTCTGAGCATTCTGCCATATTTCAGGTAAGGATGCTATTACTGTTTCATGGATTAATTCCAATTATCATGTGGTAGAATGTCATTTGCAAATTTGTTTCATTGAGGTTCTATTAATGATAGTTAAAGGTTTGTGTGTTTTTGCTGTGTTTAGTGTATCCAGGGCTTGCCGGAAGGCGCGCTTCGACGCATAATTTTGACTGCGTCCGGTGGGGCGTTCAGGTATAACTGGGAAATCATGAAGGAATGTTAACTTATTTCCTTGCAAAAGTTGTTGAAGAGAGTCTTGCAGGCTAAATATTTTGGTAATGATAGTATGTTGCCTCTAAAGCAGGAGAAATTATTCTGTGCGGAGACCGGATGTAGAATGCCGTCTGGAGACAAACCAGTATGCGCCACGTCAGCAATATAGAGCCGTGGTACCGAGCAGGGGTGACATGGCGCATTCTGGTTGGTCTCCGGACCGCATTCGACGTCCACACATAATAATTAATCCTAAACTAGTGGCTCACTTTTTCCAAGTCATGAGTGATTCTTTTGAAAGTAGTTTTGTTGGAGTAAATAAGGAGAGAGAAACAGAGAGAAAACTCCTTGGAAGAAAACTTGGGTCTCAATGTGGTTGCAGCAATTTTTTTATTTTGTTTAATTTTTCAAAAGAATTTCTTGATTTCATTTGGATGTGGTTGCATGGTTGGTGTTTATGTTAGAGATTGGCCTGTTGAAAAGCTCAGAGAGGTTAAAGTTGCTGATGCTTTGAAGCATCCAAACTGGAATATGGGAAAGAAGATTACTGTAGATTCTGCTACTCTTTTCAATAAGGTGCTAAGTTTCATCCAAACCACCCTTCCATATAAACTAAGGTTTCATTTGGGACGATTTTCTTACTGCTTAAAACAACTTTCTAGTACAAAAATTTAAATTTTTTAACTAAGAAACTGCTTTAAGAAGCAGTAAGAAAGCCGTTCCAAACGAAACCTAAATTTAAATAGTTGGAATCATAGTAATATAAATTGATGTCACTAGCCTTGTTGTGGCTATTTGGCATTTTCTTGCTCCTTCCATATTTCATTCATTTTGCTTTCCTAAACAGGGTCTGGAAGTTATTGAAGCACACTATCTTTATGGGGCTGAATATGATTCAATTGAGATATTAATCCACCCTCAATCAATCATACACTCAATGGTTGAGACTCAGGTTTGTTTATTATTTCTCTACATGTCTGAATTTTGTAAATTATTAGTATTTTACAATACAAAAAATTGAATTTGAATTCAAATATGTTTACTTTAAATATATAAGTAAATATATTTTTACATATTTTCAGGATTCTTCAGTTCTGGCTCAGTTAGGGTGGCCCGATATGCGCCTACCGATCCTTTATACGATGTCGTGGCCAGATAGAATCTATTGCTCAGAGGTTACATGGCCTCGACTCGATCTTTGCAAGTAAGCATCTCATTCTTTCAAGTTGAAGAAAATCTACAAACTATCATGGAGTATTAGGCTTTGTTTGGTTCTTCCTCTCCTTTTGTAAAAGATAGTTTTAGAAATATTGGTTAAGGAAATGGAGTTTTCTAACGGAGAAGCAAATATCAAAAAACTTCTCAAAACAGTAGAAAAATGAAGTTTCCTAAAAAGCAATTTCTATAGAAATGTCCCATCCAAACTGTGACCAAAAATAATTTCGCCGTTTCCGAATAGAAAAGATAAAAAAATGCCGAAACAAATGAGGCCTTACCGTTTTGATAATGCAGGCTTGGATCTTTAACATTTAAAGCGCCGGATAATGTGAAATATCCATCAATGGATCTTGCTTATGCCGCTGGCCGAGCTGGAGGAACAATGACTGGTGTTCTCAGTGCTGCTAATGAGAAGGCTGTGGAGATGTTTATTGATGAGAAGTATGGTCTTCATCTCATCAAATTACGAATTTTTATCTACTTGTAATTTACACTGATGAGACTTTGGATTTTGACATTTCAGGATCAGTTATCTTGAAATTTTCAAGGTTGTCGAACTCACTTGCGATGCGCATCGCAACGAGTTGATCGAACGACCTTCACTTGAGGAGATTGTTCATTATGATTTGTGGGCTAGGGATTATGCTGCTGGCCTAAAATTGTCATCTGGATTGAGTCCAGTTCCTGCTTAGGCCACCAAAAAAAAAAAAATTTTCTGCTGCTCAGCAAATGAGAGTTGAATAGATGTTGCAGCAGTTCTATTACATGCTTAAGCATTCATCATTTCTTGTTATTATGAAAGAAACTATTATTGCTTAGCTTGTTCCAGTCAGGCATGTTAAATTGGTTTTGAAATCTGAAAGCTAGTCTAGTAATAAATTTAATGACTAAGATTTTGTTTGGGATGGCTTTCCAATTGCTTGTTAAAGCAATTTTTTAATTAAAAAATCAAAATTTTTTATCAAAAAAGTTGTTTTCAAAAGCAATAAGAAAACTATTCCAAACGAAGGCTTCGTTTGAGAAAACTTTTTTATTACTTTATAAATAAGTTTTCTAATATAAAAGTTCTTATATTACAAAATTATCCCAAATAAAATCTAAACCAAATTTGAGTGACAATATTTTAACCCAAATTTTTTAACAATTAAGAAATTAAGCACCTGTTGTAGCAAACTTATAATTCAATGAAGGCTTCGTTTGGTTATCCCTTAAAATGTTATTGGAGCAAATGGAGTTCTCAAACCGAGAAACATATATCAAGAAATTTCTCAAAACAATAAAAAAATAAAGTTATGCAAAAAAAACATTTTCACATAAACGGCATATTCAAATAGCGACAACTGACGTTTTCAAACGGAGAAGGAGAAAATAAGCCGCTTCAAACATGGCCGAAATCATATAAAAAGCAATTTATCAATATATAGAATTGAGCTGTGGAAGAGAATTGCTGCAGAGTATAAATGGTCCTCATAACTAAACATCAAATAGCAGAAAGCAAAAGATAACAGAATAGTCAATACACTGCTTGTGTTTGAAGGTACTGAAAAGGCTTAAGCTGAATAACAATCAACAGAAGCAGCAGCATCACATCTAACGGTATACAAACTCGTTTAAGTTCTAATGGCCATATTTCTGGAACTCCCATTCACTATTGTCTGCATATTAATACAAAAATAAATAAATAAAGTTAAAAATATAATTGTTGATAAGAGAGGGGAAATAATGAATTTAGATGTGGAAAATTAACGATAATAATAAAGGCAAAGCTCACCGAGTGGGCAGACTTGGCGAGTTTTAAGCCACCTGCTGATACAATGAAAATGGAAAGCATGATTGCAAACACCTGTTCTCAAAAGAATTGTGAGCTCTTTAGGCCGGACCAATTATATATCAGCAGCTAAGTGACAAAAACATATAAAAAGTTGCAGAAAAAACATAAAAAGCAAATGTGGATTCAAAGCAAGCACTAGCTCAAGCCTGTCCCATAAGAGAAACATAAGAGAAATTATTCTGTGTGGACACTGAATGCAGTTAAACGTCCAGAGACTAACCAGAATGCGCCACGTCAGCAATATCGAGTACGGTTGAGTGCGGTACCAAGCCACGGTACCGAGCTGGGGTGACATGGCGCATTTTGGTTGGTTTCTGGATGACGTTCGGCGTCTGCACAAAATAATTTGCCATCCCCACAGGGCTGTCTGATTGGTGATTCAGTTTAGGGTTTAGCAATCCCTTTTTCTTTTGTAACTACAGATCTTTTTGCAAAATAATAATTAGAAGAAGAAGAATTATAAGCAGTTTAAATCAGGATCAAAGAATCTGATTCCAACTTGAGCCCAAGTTTAAGTGAGTTGAAAATCTAATAGAGTTTGAGTTGACTTTAATTCTGATTCTATTCAAGTTTATTAGTTTAACAAATTAAAAATTTAAATTACTAAACAAGATTAATTTCTATGTATGTAGCATCTATTTATAAAATTTTAATGTAGTATATTAAATATACAATCATGCATGTGTTCATATATACTATTTATTTGCAATATAGTCATAAATATAAGCAAAATATGTATGAGTGTGTACGTTTATGTATATAAAAGAAAAAAAGCTAGGTTGCTCCTCTCAAAGCCCTAAAATGGTCTTCATGTTGTGGCACTAAGAAGAGATAAAAAAAGAGGAAAGTAAGAGTGCTTAACAATCCCATGTGACAATACATAGTATCCAGTCCTTCTATGTCAACTCAATGTGCCAACACATCAAGATTTCTTTTGCGCTTGGGTGATGTGGTGCAACACCTCTCTCTCTAATCCACGCAATCTATTTCAAGTTGAATCAAACTAATTTCTAGAAAGCCAATATTGAGTTAAGGCAAATCGATTTTAATTTAGAATCGATTAAACTTTGAATGATTATCAAGTAAATTTTATGTTTCAAACATAATTATTAGTCCTCAGATACCAATGAACCAAATAACACATGAAATTATTAACAAATAAGTGATGGTTACCTTTTAAAGGACATTTAATTAGTCGGTTCAAAACTGAAGAGAAGAATTATAGACAAACAAATACTGGAATTTGCATTATCAGCTACGGAAAACATAACAAAATGGAATAGAGAAGTGGATAGAGATATAACATTGAGGTGATCCAAATAACATTAATAGCAAAATTGAGATAATCTAAACAAAAAAAGAATGAAATGTTTTAATCAATTTGAGTTAAATTTGAGCCGAACATGAGCCAAACAAACTTAATTACATTAAAACAAACCAAACACAAACAAAGCATTCGCAAACAATTTCTAACTCGTGCCGATTTTTAACAAATATAAAGCAGTCAGCTCATTCAAGTTTGACAAATTTACACCTCTATCTACAATATATCTTCTCCCATTCATTGACACCCTTTAAAATGCCCAGCTATGTCAATATTCTCCTCAAAATCCTCCATTCAGAATTTAATATCTCAAAGGTCAAAATAAAAATTGGAAATTAAAATTTGAATTCATAACTACCATTACTAAAAATTCTCCAACTTATTTTCTATACTTTTAATTCAAAATTTACTTTCAAGTTTTGAATTAAAAATGTTCATCTCAAATTACTAAAATTCCTCTATATATCTAAACAGTTTATTCTAGCAACCTTATTTAATTTATAATCTTCCCGAGCAACCAAACCTAACCAAAACCCAATAAAACTTAGTTTTAACCAATTATCTCTCCTCAAGAAATTCAACATATTGCTTATCGTTGGTACCCTATAATCATGGCGCTCACAATTAGGGCAATCAAATGCAAACAGAACGCAAAGGCCAAGGCTAGAGTTCAATATGTGGGAGGCATATGCAACGAACCAAGCAGTGGGAATGGTTTGAAGCGCAGTTTGTTTAGAAGATTAGATGTTGGTGAGAGATGCAAAAAGGGAATCATAAAATAAAAGCAAGTGAGTGTGTGAGTAGTGAGAACTAGGCTTAATACGAGAGAAGCACTAATGTGGAACCAGATATGACTTAGTTAAGAAGTTGTGAAAGACTATTGAGGGGATGTAGATGGCCATGAGATTGATTTTGGCAAAAAGAAATCAAATATTGCTCTGATATTGGAATAAACGGAGAATAAGGAGAACAATATAAACAACTTGAATCTGGAGAGCACTTAATTGATCAAAGAGTTTCATTCGTTAATAATAGTTTATTCAATTACAAGGCATCAATCCTACTTATAGAAATAGAATTACAAAAGTATGAAATCAAATAGTTTAAATTCAAATATAAACTTATTTATAATCAAAAATTAATTCAAACAAAATATTTAAATTCAAACACTTTATCATCAAAATAGGATAATCAAAACTTATAAAATAGATTAAATAAAAAACATTAAAATTCAGCCAAATATAGGATAATCAAAACTTATAAGACATGAAAACTGGTTTGCTCCAGCTCTATCATAGTCCGAGTCGTTTTAGTTGGCCTATGAAAATTTGATCTTTTCCGGGCCAAGCTAGCTAATTTACATTACATCAACTCTTGTACACTAAATTAAAAATTTTGACCCATAAAGCAACACTTATAAAATTATAACCAGAAATGAGAAAAAGCACAAGTAATGCCGAACAAATCCTTAAGAACTGAGATTAAATTCTACCTGCCGTAGAATTTGCTTTGAATACTTATATTAATAAAGCTACTCACAACAGATGCAACTCTCCATGGCCTATTGGTCGGGCACTTATGCTTCCAACCAAGAGGTCTTAATTTTGAAGCTTCCATATATGATACGGGCAAGTTTGAGATTTAATTAGTTCAAATTCCCAAAGAAAAAACCACTCCCAACAACATCTCTTAAAGATGAAAATCATGGATAATTGTAAGCAGTAACAGAGCTAATAAAATCAGATCCATACCCCAAGCAACCGTGCACTCCTCACTTGTAGCACTTGCTTGATTCGCCTGACACTCAATGCCTGCAAATTTCCATAAAATCAAATCCATGACCTCTAAAACCCATCCAGAAATAAGCCCGAAACGAAACCATCACCAAAAAGGAATAAATTAAAGTTCTCACATAAATCCATGATGTGGTTCCTGCATATCGCGCAGTTATCAACAACAATATCTGCAACATGAAACCCAAACACAAATCAAATCATCGATCCATCACTGGAGGAGCCAAAACAAATAAAACCTAATCCTAGGACGGAATATAATTTCACAAAGCTAGGGTTTGACGAAGATTTCAAGATTGCGTACCCCACGCCCAGAGAGCAACGGCGTTCCACTTTTTGATCTCGAACCGCTTCGGTTTCTTCGACGACGAAGGGCCGGCGCCGCTCGACCCCTCGCCGACGGGCACCATGTTGATGTCCGTGTCCAAAGTCGCCATTGAAGAGAGAGAGAGAGAGAGAAAGAGATTGAAGGGTGGAGAAGCAGCGGAGAAGAAGCGGAGAATCAGAAAGACCGGGCTTGAGTATTCTGGAAGATAAACGGGTTTGCTTTTTAATTTTTATCTTATTTTTCGGAAAATATAAGCCAATTTATCAATATATAATTAGATATTTTTTAATTTCTTTCTTTAGATATTTACATTTCATAATATTTTTTATTTTCAGCATATATATTATCTTTATTGCAACAATAATGACTGAGAGTTTTTTATTTGGGATATTTTTTTTGTTGCTTTCTAAAGTAATTTTTAAGTAAAAAAAAAAATTGAACTAAAAGTTTTTGTACAAAGAAGTTTTAAAAATCAGCAAAAAAATTGTCCTAAACACGTGAAGTTATTATGTACGGTCACTGTACGCCTTCCAGAGGTGAATAAAGACGCATCATATCATTATTTGTTGTGTATCGGTGCTGTGTACCGGGGTGAAATGACACATCCTGATTCTTCTCTGAACAGCCCGATAATAACACGTAATAATTTCTCCCTAAACGGAACCCGAGTTAGAAATCTAAACATTCATATACATATATGCAAAATTAGTCTTCTGATGATTGATAATTTTTTTTCTAATAAACATAACTATTATATGGACCAATTTGACTTTAAAATCCGAGCAATTTTTGGCAAATAAAATGAAATATAGTGCAAGGAATATGAATCTTATCAGTTCGATTTCATCAAAACATCTTATGCTTGACAAGATTAACTGCTTAATTTCGCCTAATTATGAAGATAAAACTAGTGAAATTTAGTGAGACTTTTGAAACTAGTGAGATTTTGGAACTTAATCTTTTAAACGAGAGTAATTTAGCTATGATGATAATACTGAGGGAAGAAAAGTACTATATCAATATTTTCAATTACTTTCATAAAAAATATTATTATTATTCATTTCAAAAAAAATAATAAATATATATTAATTGATTGAGACACTTAAATGCTATATAATAAATATAAAATTTGAAATATTAGATATATAAATACACAATTTACTAATATTATATGTAAATTTCACTTAAAATAATTAATTTTATTTATTCATCATAAGGAAATAAAAATAATTTAAAGGTTTATCCTTCTTCACTAAAGATAAAGGCATTAAAAATAAATAAATAAATGATCTCTAGACCGTTATGACTCAAGTAAACAAAAAAATTATTCTATGTAAAGACTGGAGGCAGAACGTCGTCCGAAAAACAATCAGAATGCATCATGTCAATGGTACTGAACAGTACCAACCCGCGGTACCGAGCACATGAATGACATGATGCATTCTAGTTGATCTTCGGACGTCAGGCATTCGACGTCAGCACATAATAATTTTTCCCATTAATCTCCAAGACAAAATAGCTATGTATAATAGATTTGAACATATTAAGGTCTCTGCATATTGCAAATAAGTACATAAGAGATGTAATAGTCAAAGTGCAGAAAACTGTTCTCAGTTAATAATGCTAATGAATTACAACAACAACAACAAATCATTAATAGATGAAATTTAAATAAACTCGTTGTTGTAACATTGAAATTTTCAATTGAAAATACACAAATTTCGTAAGGGCTCTTGCGGAAAAATCAAGAACCATTGATGACTAACATTGCCTATTCAATGAGCTCAAATACAGGTTAAGAATAAATAATCTTCAGTGCAAATAGAAATAGTAACAAGCAGAGAGGAAAAAAAATGGTTTACTGAGGGACTGAGGTTTCGTTTGGGACAGCTTTTATAATGCTTTTTAAAATAGCTTTTGTATTATAAAGTTGTTTTAGAAAGCAAGAAAAAAGTCGTATCAAACGAAGCCAGAATGTGTTATCGACTGCTCTATTTCAAATGTTAGATAAACGCCTTAGCAGAAAAAAACCAACGGCTCCTGCTAGCAAGAGAAATATTGGATTACCAAGTGCGTCAGTATCAGTAAATCTGCCGCGATTATTAAGCTTAGCCAACTTCTCATGAAACAAATTGGAGAGATTGTCGAGCTGATGCATCATTTGACGCTGAGAACGAGAGATCGCGGCGATCTGTGAGGATTAAATAAGAATCATGAGGTTATAATCAAATCAAAGCATTCTAGGAAGAAATGAAATGAGCAGGTTTTGATCATTTGAAATAGCAGGAAAAGAAGCAGAATGTGCAAAGCAATCAGCTGAGGTTTCGTTTGAGAAGGTTTTCTTACTGTTTCCTAAAGAGACTTTTTAATACAAATTTTTTAATTTTTGTACTAAAAAATAGCTTTAAAAAGCAGGAAGGAAGCCGTCCCAAACGAAGCCTGAGTGGAACACATGTCAGGTGTTATTGTGAAAAATAGAAGATTATTGTAAAAGAATGCTTCAAGTAAGATAAAAAATGAAAGAGATTTATGAACAATTATGTTTAAGATCAATAAAACTGGTGGATCGGTAGATGAAGTTGATGAGAGAAAAGGTTGTTGAATGGTGTGAAGGCACGAGCTGCCTAATAAGAAAAAACGGAGAGAAATTTAGGGTTTGTAAGGAAAGTAGAGGAAATGAATATTTTCAAACTTTTTGTTTCATCCCCTCTCAAAGATTGAAGATTTAAGATTTTAGAAAAGTGGAGGACATGAAATGAAATCATAGCAATTTATGGATTGACTATAAATCTATAAGCATAAATTAAAACTTTTTTCATTCGCTTTCATGATAAGGAAAAATGGAGATATATTTGGCCTTTGTTTAGATTGAAGGAAAGTGAATTTAAAATTTTTTTAATAGACTATGAATATAAAACTATAGGTTTTATGATTTTCAATACTTTTCTTCATACCCTTTCATTCCAATTCCTAGCATTCAAGCACAAATTTAATTAAAAAAATTGATGAAAATATAATGAATTCCATCTTGTTTAAAAAATACCTCTTCCATTAGTGAAGACTCTTTGTTAAGTTGATTGGAAGATGATGAATTGGGTAACAGGGTACCATTGCCCAAGTTGGACACAAAGAAAGTTGTTGGTGCCGAACCAGGACAACCTTCTCCTTGGAGAGAGAGATTTTGTTGACTGGTTGATGCTTTCTGCGCTGCAAACTTAGAATTCAGTTCCTCAATACGTGAGGTAAACTCGTCCATCCTTTCATTCAATGTTGATATTTGTTCCGAGAGCTGTTTGATGACTCCCTTGATAAGAACAAAAAAAGGACAATGTCAAACGCATAAAGAAAAAATGTCTTTATCAGGCACAAAAGTAAAAAAATATTTGTAACAAAATACTTATTAGGAATCATATTAATTAAGAGTTCCAAGTCTTCTGTTACGTTTCACCCTGAACCGATGAAAACGGCCCAGCTTGGGCCGATTCAATTCTATAGGAGGCGGCCCAAGCCACCTCCTTAAAGCCTTTCCTGCTACCCCCCTCCCCCACAAAGGAGCCCCCCCCCCCCCCCCCCCTTCCCTTGGGTGGCAATTAGAGAGAGGGTACGGGGCGGCTAAAGCCTTAGAGGTTAATTTGAATTTGGTTTATTTTAGGAAGCTTTTTATTAGGAAGATATGTATTTAAAAAAGAGGAAATGTTAGGGTTAGGGCATGCATGATTATTGTCTTCTCTTAGAGTTATCTTGGTGGTTTGGGTTCTAGATTCCTCGTCTAGAGATTGGGAGAGAATGATCCTCCTCTCGAATTGAGGAACAATTGTATTTTTGCTTGTTCTTGCCTTTGGTTTTATTCCTATAATATAATCTACTGTTTTTGGACTGTTTCATTGAAGATCTTGAAGTTTTCGCGCTGTTTCCACCAATTCTTGTTAGGGTTGCTTGCGAACTCAAGTATTTCCCGCTAGGGCTACTTGTGAACTCAAGTATTTCCTATCATCTTCTTGAGGATATAATTGGCCAACATGTTGAAGTACCTCTTTCATTCCAGGTGAATCAGGGCCACGTACATCATATCTTCTGCCACCAACTGTAAGATTGGTAAGTTTACCAATGTTCTTCTCACCTCGTGCGGAGTATGAAAGTGACAAACCACTGCAACAAGCAATCAATATTAACTTATGAGAAATGCAGTTATGTTTGCAAGAACTTAGCAAATCTGCAAAACAGGGAACAAAAATCAACACTGTAAAAAAACGACTCGGTTTAGACTCGGTTTAGTCATTCAGATTGAGAGTTCACGATGTACTCTTGCACTGATTCATCTCAAGGTATTCAAGAGGTCTAGAATAATGAAGGTTCGTCTTTTCTAAAAACTATGATACAGATTCTACCATCCTTCTTCTCAAAATGTTTAGCAAGTTAAATTTCTTTCCCTATCATTGATTTTCAATAGCCACAATGTTATGCAGAAACATCTACAACTTTATATTAGTTGTTGTTGATGTTCACGAATCATGAAGAGTCCATAAACTTTATTGTCTATCGACCTGCACCTGCCTAGGAAGTTTTCAAGATTGATTCATCCATCTCACAGTCCATGACATAGCTCCTTTCTTTGTGTGTCTTAAATATCCTTAAGATTCAAATATTCAGAGCATGTCTCATTGTTTTTTTTCTAGTGAAACTATTTTAGTAAAATTGAACCGTCGCAATTGCCAAGCAAATGCACCAAAAATTCGAGTTCCTTTTGGATTTTGTTCTTGATCAATGATAACCGTTGCATTGTCATCATATCGTATTATCATGCCGTTGTCACGTTTGAGTTGTACCTAGGAAATTATTTTTGCTATTGATGGGAAGCCATGAATCATATCCTCTATTTATAACTAGCTTGCACTCTAGAGTCCTGGTTAGAAATGAATCAACAAAATCTTCCACATTTTTCTACACATTTTTTCTTTTCTTTTCTATTACCATTTATTTGTTGCTACGAATCCAAATACTAATCTTAGCCACAAGCATAATAGAAATAACGAGAAATGGAGCATAGCAGAATCATCATATAAATCTCCACCCACTAAATGACTGCACGGAGATAGTCATAGTTATATAGCTTAGATGCTAGTCCGAACACTACTATAAGCACACGAGTTTATGAAAGCATACAAAGAGCATACCACAGATATCATACAATCATCTACACGCCTTAGGTGCCTTTAAAAACCATACATTGCGAGAGTAAAATCTGTCTTATAATATAATTGGTATAATTCGATGTAAGTGTTTCAAGGTGATTGGAAGTCATCTTAGATTTTGCTTTTTGTACAAAATAATAAGAGTAACATATCATAATAATTTAGATTATGGGGCGTCAAATATTAAAGCTAAAATGAAAAAGAATAGTTAGGGGAAGGGGAAATATGCCCAAAGTAAGATGAATTACATTTGAGATGAGGAGATCAAACAAAAATAAACATCAAAAAAGCAATCCGAATAGCAAATAAATGCAAAGCACCTGAGATGCTTGTTTCTCATGGCAGCCTTATCACCAGTGGATCGAGAAAGTGCTTCTCTTGGGCTTAATACCAGATCATCATCTATGCTAAGCTTTGTCTTCAAATCATCAGGAACAGCCTAAAAATAAACATCCAAATTGCAAAATTCTCTCTGTAAATACATCAGCTACATTTATATATGAAACTACTGAGAAAATTGTCTTACCATTACGTCACTGACAAGTTTCTCCAGTTGAATTTGCTCTATGTACGTTCTAGGAATATAAGAACCCTCCAATCCCAATTGATCAGCAACACATTTAACAATTATTCGGTCTCTTCCTTGCACCTTAAAGAATTGGAGATGGTATGAAGTAAATTAAATTTTTCAACAAACTAAATGACAATGATATAATCATAGAAAATTAACTGGTGAAACAATCTGCAAATTTTCTTCACAGAAGCAATGTTAAACTGCCATTACGCTCAATCGACACACCATCAGCACAATGCACAACAATAATGTCAGCAACCTCGCCCCAACTACTTGACCTAGGCCTTACAAAATCACAATAATTAATTCTCATTAATTTCTCTTCAAGTTGGCTCTTCTGTCATCAGAGTGTTTTGAACGGCTAAAATTCATGCTAGTTTCTGTTATATTTACATACAATGAGATGAGATTGTTTTGAGCATCTAAATTTCATACTGGTTTCTGTCATATTTACACACAATGAGATGTGTACAATAACATCATTCAAACATCGTGGTGCCCACCAAATCAGGTTTTTTTGTGCTCAACGTGTATTTTCTTCCTTGATTAACTTGACAAAAGAACAATAAACAGCTGCGATGGAGCACCTTGGCACAGATTTTATCATTCACCAAAATGAGCATATTCTCTGAACCTGAATTCCATGATACTCTCCTTAGGCTCATTTAATAAGCAAAGAGCAGATGAAATTATTAGTTTGAACATCCTCTTTGATCATTAGATGGGTAAATACACATGGCATTTTTAACCGAAAAGCAGAATTCCTAAGATCAAAGAGTGAAATGACAGCACCATTGACTAAAGTATGTGATAGAACCAATTTAAACATGCCAGCCATGCTTTTTTCTCGCTGAATGTAATGCATTTTATGGCTTATATACGCAAAAATTGCCTTACCACCTAAGGGCACACTTGTGGGAGGAAAACATGATAATTACCTGGATATAACTTCGATTCAACTGTTCCAACCAATCAATTTTCACAGTCACTCTGTCGTCAGAGAATACATGGCTGCTTCTTTTCAAAATAGCAGCAATACTATAGCCCAAAGCCATCAATCCTCCAAGAAGCCGTACACTAACTTCAAAAGTAATCCTTGGTGATATGATGAAGGGGTTGTCTGTAACCCATTCCTGCAAATCAAAACAAAAAGGAATTCAAACAGAATTGGATGTGCTTTTAGAAGGAAAAAAGCAAGTTTAAAAAATAAATAATTGCAACATAACATAAATGGATTCTCCAATTTGAAAAAACTTGATAGATTTAAACTTCATGTTGGAGGTTTTAATAATGCTCATAATAACCGAAGAAATTGTGAGGAATTGATGAAACAAAGTTAACAAATTAATTTTGCCTTACAGATGTAATCATATATAATCAGATGTAAGGCTAAACATAGTCAAGATATATAATTTTTCCTATAAATGATGTGGTACTAAAAATAGCTATTATAAAAAATCAATTATAAAATAGAATTGAATACCAGTGGATAAATGATACTCTAATTGCTTATATTGAAAAAATATATATTGATAAATAAGTTATTATTCAACTTTTCGAGAATACGAAGAGTAGATACAATAAATTATAAGTGCTTTTCATCTTATATTTAATATTTTATTTTTTTAATAATAAATTCAACAAAAAAAAATTTAAAACTAATAATGCTGGTCTCAAATCCGAATGAAAAAAGGTAAGAGAATTTTTTAAAAAGTTAACTTCGGCGCCCACTATAAGAAATTTTTGGCTCCACCACTGCCTCCTCTCCCTCATTAGTCATGTGCTATAATCTAATTTGCATATAAGTTTATTCAAAATAATCTTATTCAACCCTCATTATGCGAAGATCACCTAACATTAACCTTGACAACCTTGATTAGACTATTGACATTAATCTAAAGCTATTTTTTATGGCTATGTCAATTGGCTTCATTTTTTTATTCTTTTGTAAAATGTTTAAAAATACTCTTATCTAAAAAAAATGGGAAGCGCAAATAAAATAAAATAGTTAACACTCAAATACTAGGCTCGCAAACCCAATAGGACATTCATATTGATTTCCTAGGAATGATTGTAACCAAAGGGTTGAATTAAGACTACTATAGAGGAACGAGAACCACTCAAACTTTTCAAGAATGATGCAATTATTCTTGTAAAGGGCAAAATGTCATTCATCAAGTTCCTATAAAATCTCTAAAAGGGAAAAGGTAAGGAACTATCCTTCTCGCTAAGCTCCCATTCTTTCATCCCAAAGGGAAAACTCTGTCGGATTAGTTTCAATAACTATATGTCTTAAAACTCAATCATTGACTTGAGAGTCAAAGGGTCCCCCTATCAAACTCTTGTTTAAACTGGTTGTGCACATGGCAAAGTATCGAAATCATTACGATCCAGCTACCCAAACTCTACTAACAATGAAGAATATTTCAGAAATGCAACAAACTCATCAAATTTAGAACTTTTCTATTACCACATTCCAAAAGACACGATGTTGGGGAACAAGCCTTAAATATTTACGAAAAAAATTATCAAGTTGAATAAGGTATCTCAAATAAATCTAAAAAAAGAAGATACAATGCACCTATTTCAAATGTTTCTTACATTGCATATGAGAATCCAGTAGCACAAACTAAAGTCAAATGCCACAATCTTCAAATTTCAATGATTTTTGTAGGTTCATTCAAGCAACTTGGATCATTCATGCCAGTCTCATATTTATGATTTAATTCTAGAACAATCCAAAAAGACTAATAAATAAAAGTGAGAACATGATCAACGTATAGAAAGTAATGATATAGAGGTCACACCACACCTAGCATCCCTAATCACAAGAATAGTGAACAGTCAAACACATAGTTTTAGTTTTTTGTAAGCAAACGATGAACCCAACTTGCAGGATTTGATAACTTTAGAGTTTAGATTCAGTAGAAGGAAGATTGGGGGAGAAAATGCACATATATAAAGCACATGCCTAAGTGTTGCATTATTGGCATTATTGTGAATCTAAGTTACAGTTCCATTCAGAGTAAGAAGTCATAGGAATGAGTGTAATCGATGAGTATTATATCAACTTGGTATCTGTTAACAAACGATGAAAAAAAAAAAAAACGGATACTAAAAACCATAACACCAACATAGACATTTATTCATGTATATGATCATGATGCAGAGACAAATACAGAACAAACCTCAAACATAAGATTGTACTTTCCATCCCTGTTTCGCATTCTCAGATAGGATTGGCAAGCATCTGGATCTTCACCTGGTGGTAGGAGATATATATCATAAGTTTCCTCCCTACTTTCCTTGTGTTCTGCAGAAATTACAGCCTTGATTTTCTCGACTGATGCAGTCCTTGTTGACTACAATAACAGAAACCACTTAGCTCTAAAAACAAACTTAGACACATCTGCAAGGCATATTTTACACCTTGTATATCTTTAAGATTAAGAAATATGGGTAGTGCTTTAACCTTTAAAATGTAGGTCGGATTCTGGAAACCTGAGAATGGATTGAATTTGTTAATGATTTTTATATGTGCAGTTTGCAGGTCTGGTTCAATAAATGCCTTGTACATGGGATAAACCTGCTCAAAGTAACAGCTAAATATATTAGATGCAAAAATAGCACAATCATTCTATAAATAAACTAAGCTTCTTACTGAGGAAAAGGACTTTTATAATTAATTCAAGATGATTGATTTCCAGATTTATTTAAAACAGAAGGATATGCAGGCAGTAAAACTTTTTAACAATTTTAGCAAAATAAAATCAAAATGTTAGCGAAAACCGTTTCTGATATTTGTTGGATTATTTCTTCCGGTTCTTGTCCAGCACGTTGTATGTCCCTTAAGACCCTCTTCACAAGGTCAAAATGTACACCTCCCGTTACAGAAACACGAAGGTCTAATGCAGACCGCAACCTTTCACTTAATGCGTAGATTCCTTCAATAATTAGAATCCGGGAGCTTGGAACTTCCACAGTCCTGTCAGCATGCACCGACATGGAAAATTACAGTTTTCAGGAAATTTGTATGAAACTTCTCTGTCACTGATGATATAGAGTTGGAGGCAATAGCAGGCAACAGCAGGACATTCTAGGAAGAGGTAGGATGTGCCATACCTGTATCCTGTTCGACAGCTTGACTTGAAATCATAAATAGGCACTTGGACGGACTTTCCTTCTTTCAGGCCATTAATGTTTTCCAACAAAGTATCATAATCGGTTAGACGTGGATCTGATTACATATTGTAGAAGTCAGGCATTCATGCTAAAACTAATTGATATATTTTCTTAAGGAAAATGAGCTTAGATTAATCTCAAAATGCATAGCTAGATCGTCTAAGCTCAAATGTAATCTTACTTCAACTATTTGAACGGTAAAATGAATTTATTGTAATGAATGGTAAGTAAAATATTTAAGTTTAAATGGTAAGTAACAAAGGGTTTTATAACAAAAATATAGGTAACAAAACGTATGCATAAGCCATTCAACTTAAATAATGATATTTTTTAAAAAATTTATAGGTGATAAAGATGCGTAATAGATTTAATTTTATTTAAAAGATTAGGTGAGTTAAAGCTGAATGGTAATAATTAAGAGGTGCTTTAGAGTACTATAAGATGAGGTAACATAATAGAATTAAAAAAAAAAATTAGAGGATATAGATGTAATTTTATTCAAAAGATTGATATGGATGAGATAATTAAGAATTGCCTTAGAGGTAATATAATGGACATAAAATTAAAATTAAAATTAGAACATTATGCTATGAGTCCTAATTTCAGAGAATAAGAAAGTCACAAACATCTAAGTTGAGCACACCACAGAAAAAAAAAAATTTAAGATGGGTGCATGTGATAAAACTAGATATTTTAGAAATGCTTATACAAACCAAAAGTCGCCGTGTCACCAATCAAAGATAACATAGTGAAAAATAGACTGAGATAGTTTCTATAACAGTCATGAAAGATGACTCAATGAGCTGGTTAGATAGAATTAGGTAAATAAATGTAAAAGGTTTAGATCTAAACAAAAGTTTTGTAGAAATTAGAGTTAGAGGCTCATGCGTACCAAGAGCGACGGAGAAGTTTCCTTCACTATATTTCGGAAATCCTAGGTTCAAGTCAAGGAAATTAGTTTGCAACCGAGCATATAGGGCCTAATAAACTCAAAGAATACATTAATCTTATATTAAAACTATCTGAGGAAAAAAAAAAGGGCAGACGTATCCCATATTGAATTGTCTCATATACTGTCTCCCAAAAACCCTCAGCTCTTTCAACTTAACTAACAGAACGAGGCTTCAGAAATTTGCCTAAAAAATGGTTAAAATCACATAAAGTCCCTTCTTTCAATATCTCGGGAATTATAATCAATAGACTATTTATCTAGGGCCACGCTAAACATTAAACAGATGGATCAACCAGTAATATAGTAAAAAGACTAACCAACAATCATAAAAAATGCTTATTAAAGTAATAAATTAAGAATATTTAAATTAATCCTTGAGAATAAAAAACTCACCATCAAAGTTTCCATCAATTATACGACTTGAGTCATTGTAGTTATCCATGGATATCACAGCAATACTTGGCATGAAATTCAGAATTTTCTCAGTGAATACCGTCTTTCCAGCCCCAGAGGGACCAGCAACACCAACCATGATAATCCCCTCATTCTTTTGGGCCAACAACTGGCAAGCACGGATGAAGACAAAGAAACCCTTCTCAAAAGAAAGTGAATCTTGAATTGGAACAATTTCATATCTAGAAGAGTCTTTCCTTTTCACAACCTGAACTTGATCTCTTAAAAGCCCTGGCTTCCGCCGTGGTGATTCAATAGTAGAAAAACTTTGGTCCATTAACAAAAAGTTATGAAAGCTCTAATAGACCTGCAAAGGAAAAAAATAGTGAATGGATGCACAAAAAAGAATCATCAGTATGACAATCTAAAAAAACATGCATTATTAGAATGTGATAGGAAACACTTGTAGAACTCAAGTATTTCCTATCAATTTTCGGAAAGCAGCGAGAAATCTTAACAAAAGTCCACCAAAATTATGAAAACAGTAGATAATTTGTATTATTTGATGAAAGGGAAATAAAAAAAATAACAAGATACAATTGATCCTCTATTCAAGAGGAGGATCGTTCTCTCCCAATCTCTAGACGACGCTAGAGCCCAAAAGAAATCGAAGAGATCTCAATTTTCAGCCAAATTCAAGATGCCCTAACACTAGGAAAACAAAGTATTTAATGCATACCAATCAAAAGGAAATCCCTAAACAATCCCTACATTCAATTTCCCTCCTAGAATTCGTTCAAAAACCTTCCTAAATGAGCTCCTAGGGAATCGCGGTGTGTGCGGCTAACCGAAGAGGCGGATATGTTCCGCCCTGTTCGTGCCCGGTTTGGTCCTGCGTGAACCGGCTGGAACAATCCAATGAACCGTCTAACAGAATGTTATTGCATAGTAAGTGACATGAGATCTTCAATAACATTACCTTTGAGATTAGACATCATTTCTTGGTATGCAATTTCAAATACCAAACTAAATGTCTGCACCGTGACTCATCCAGAAAAATAGAAACTAAATTTGCAACAAAAAGTAATTGTTAAGCCGGCCTCAAATAGTTTAGAAATTACTAATAATGATGATTATGATGATGACAAGGATGAGCAATTGACTGCTAAAAAAATTGGGTGTGAGCAGCATGTCAAAAATCAAGGAAAAAGAGGAATCCTGTTCTTTATAAAATGGGATGAATATCATGACAATGAGTATAATTATATTAGAAAAGTTGAAGAAATTTATCCAGATCAAGATTTAATACTATGATACAAATACAATGATTACTCTTTTGTTTGGACCAATTTAAATTCTAATATAATTATAACACAAATAATTTATAAAGAAAAAACCTATCTTTCTAAACTAGGATCATGCATTGCTCCTTGGTGTCTTATTTACATGTGTAAAATGATCCATAACACCCTTCTGTCCCAGTGTGATGCATGTTATTTTTATTCATATTGTAATAACCAACAAGCGGTCTCCTTCTTGTTTCAGCACCTAAGTTAATTGTATGTTTATTCATTCATGTTTCAACCATACGAATTTCTGATAAGGCTACAATTACAATTCCCTGAAATGCTCTTCTAGATCATGCTGCCTAGAATTTTCATTCACATTCTCCGAAAGCCCCTCTCAAGATATATGAAAGAAATTTATCATTCCCAACTAGTTTATAACAGTAAAGATGTCAATAAGTTGATTACTTATTGGGACATAAGCAATGCTAATTAGTCCACACTTTATAAAATGCATGTCCACTTCTACATGTTTCTTCAAATATGTGGGAGACTCAATTGTGAGTAATGTTGATTGCAGATTTACTAAGACAATATAGACTTATATGTCCTTCCAACTTAATCATCCTTTCTTCTTAAATATTTTTTAGCCATAGAAATCAGTCCACTCAAGCTTTTCTTTTATAAATCATTTGCCTACCTTTACATGCTTCGTTTGAATAGGCTAGACTGGATTGTGAACATTGTTGATTGCATATTTTTCTATCACGATATAGCTTCCTTGGTCATTCTCACTAAATCTTCAAGTCTTTTAAGATAATTTTTTAACCATGGAAGTTCATATATTCCTTCTTCAATAGCACTGAACTTAAATTTTATATTGATTCTTAAAACCAATGGTTGTTACTTATTTCTCCATGTTCAAATATCATCCTAAGTTCTATCTTGTGTTACAAGAGTTCCTACATAATACGTGTTTGTATAGCCTTCTAATTTATTGGTTTGATTTTTCTTGAAGAACAATCCTTTTCAAGGATTGACCTAAAATACCTATGAACCCGAAAGCAGCTTGGAAATGCGATTCATTTGACTAGCGCATGAATTAACTTATTAGGCTCACAACAAGTGATATATCCAGCTAGTATATGAAAAATAGCATAATCTTCTAACTAATATTTGGTATTAACCTTTGCTGAGTTGTTTACATGAGGGTTTCCTTTTATTCATTGTGTCTTCTATCAAAATTTTATCATTAGCATAATCAATAAGGATTTTAACCCTCTTACTAATTAAGACTTTTATGAAGAGAGTATAATCTCCTTAGCTTTAAAGGTACACCACTTTGAGCATTGCTTTCATGAATCTATTGATGATGATGGAATTATAGAAAAGATAGATGTTCTAAATAAGGATGATTACTATAATTTATATGATTATGCATGATTACTAAATATTGGCGTCCACTCCAAATATAACTTGAATTCCACTAACAGGGGAAGACGATTTATAGAATTTTTTCAAGCATAAGAAAAATCTGACTGTTTAAAATTACTCTTTATGAAAACACGATTATGAATACTATTATTTGTAACAAAAAACGATGGCAAACAATTTTGATATCATTGGATTCTTTATATCAAGACGTTCAAATTGACTAAGTTTGTCAAAATTAAAGTTCAAATCATTCTAAATTTAATCCCGCAAGCTTCTAATCTAAAGATATGTTTGCACTGAAATTCATGCTTGATTTAATGATTGTTTAGATAAAATATCAATTATACTTTGCATATCATTAGATTAAAAAAATCAAATTAATCAAACAGTTTACTGAAACATGTGGCTGCTAATGAACACAGGAATGAAAGAACAAATTGCGTATTTAAGAAGACATACATGTAGTTCTATGCATTCACAACCTCAAGCCCAGATTGCAAACAAACCGCCTAAAAAAAATCTACGATGATGGCTTGAATATGGAGGAGAAACAACGGAGAAGATGGAGAAATAGAGAAACGGAGACATGATGAATAGCACTTACCTACAAATGAAGGCTGAAGCAAATTCGTTCTGCTGTTTGCCGGCGACGGCGAGGTCGACTTCCTGTTTGGCACCGCGCGTCTTGGCTCGAGGCAGAAGAGGGCGGACTGGCGGAGCAATCCGGGCGTCTTGGATCGAAGCAGCGGAGGCGGAGCAGACCGTGCGTGAGGCAGAGGAGACGGTGCAGGCAGACGAGGAGGAGCAGCAGAACAGCGAAAGAATTAGGGCAAATACACCTGCTTAAAAAAATAAAAATAACCTGGCGGGAGAAATAACTTGCCGTATTTTTGGGGGATCCTTCAATCCGCCCTTGCTTGCAGGCCACCCATAAGGAAACTTTAGAAATTAATCGGACGATGCCGCCATGGACGGACGAATTAGCTTTCTATTTTTAGTGTACGGCCAGACGGAGACGGATCTAAATTTAGTTAGTTTCCATGTTAGAAGATTAACCGAACTCAATTTGAATCGGATCCTATATATGAATGATTAAACTGATCAATCTCAAATAAGATTTTTCGGGGCCTTATTCAATTTATCAGGCTTAGTCATTAAGGATTAACTATTGTGCGGACGCCAAATGTTGTCCGGAGATCAACCAAAATGCACTATATTATCCTTTCGCTTGGTTCTGCGGCTCGGTACCGCTGACGTGTCGCATTCTAGTAGGTATCTGACCTCAGCACAAAATAATTTTTCGTCATTAAGACACCTCTATGTGTACGTTTGGTTGGTTGATACATACATAACAACTTTGATATTCTTTTCTAAACTTATCATATCTCATGCAGTTCTATTTTATTCTTCCATCATAAACTCTAATCAATCAGTTAATAAGTCGATCTTTATCACTCAATAAATTCCATTCAATCTTATTATTCATTCAATTAATAGTAATATGTCAGTTATAATCATAGTATCAATAACAATATTGGTATCAGTAATAATATTAATATTCACAGTGATTAGTGTATGTAATAATAATATATGTGCAATATCAATATTAATAATTATATTCAGATATTCAGAAGAATGTACATTGCTCATGTGCTTATAATAATTTTATCATAAGTTTATAGGTGTTGTATATATGAAAACAAGAATATTCTCATTTAATTGTAATTCTTTAATAAATTGACACATGTTGATATAACTGAGTTTTTTTTAGACCATTAGGTGTTAGCTTTGCAAAAAGATTTCACCAAAGTCTTATAATTTTTTATTCTCAATATTTGAAGATATAAAAAAGATTTATAATTTTTTTTTTCTAAAAGTTTGAATAATTATCATAATTATCAATATATCCTTAGCATACTTTATCATAAAAATCCTATCCCACTCACACAATTCAACAAAAGCCATTTCATTTCTATTTCCCTTAAACTAGAGAAGAAGAAATAAAAAATTAAAGAAAAGGAGAGGAGAGAGGAGAGAGATCTTCATATTTAGGTATCATAGAGTCATTTTTATTAGTCGGCCCAATTGAAAAATTTGCTCATCTAGAGATAGGCTGTCATTACACTACCTTTGATTTTAAAAATTTTGTGTATTTTGTATTTTATGAATTTTATTTTAGTCATAAGTTACTAAAGTTGTAATATCTTTTTTTTTTTAGTAAACTTTTATCATGTACCTTTTAATATATTGTAGTTTTAATTATTTTAAACATATTGATAGAAATATATTAAATGATCACAATATATTCTTGTATTCTTTGGGCAATACCTAATTTGTAAAATTTAGATGAATATGAAAATTAGATAAATAATTCTTAAAATTTTATAATACCAATATATGACATGCATACTTGATGTAATTTATATGTTGTGGTCATATACATGTGAAAATGAGTACTAATTTTTTTATGAATGTCACTGGTTATGATTCATACGTATATTTTATATGAACTAAACTGATACAATGAGCTTAATATTGAGCATTATATCACATGTTTATTATGTTATATATGTTGTGAAATATATGTATATATAAAAGACTAGCCGCCATAAATGATTGACTAATTCAGATTGACTGAATAAATATTACCGTATATAGGAGGGTGGACTGATGGGCTTTCCTTTAAGATAAGGTTTGTAGAATAATTCTAAATTATATAAAAAGGGAGGCATAAGGAGACATATTGATATGATATAATACATCGACGAACATAAAGTTACAACTTCTGATATAAAAGCCACATGACCTAAATGATTTATGATATGACTTATTTATGAAAATATGAATAATATAATTGAGGCTAATTCATATATAGTTAGTCTATATGACTAGATATATACAGGAAAAACATCATAAATAACTAGATGTCTTATCTTTCTTACAATATTTGCATATGCATATGACAAGAATATATATATATGATAAATTATATGACATTATTTATATAAGAGATAGGTTGTGATTGATACAAGTATTTGAAAAGATTGAAAAAAACTAATACAGAGATATTTGATATATATGAATCATATGATTTACATGATATGAGCAAATTGTATCCTTTGGGCAAATACGGTTCGATTAAGGTTTGTTTTATTTTTTAGTACCAACGATAAGCATAACGTCGTTATGAACATAATGGCCCAAGGTATGGAACCCTAGAAAGAGGTTGGCCCAACTTCAGTGAGATGTTATACCTTCTTTATGGTCTAACATACTTGTCAATACATTATTTTCATTTTTTATACATGCATAACATTGACATTGTATGGCATACATACAATAATGACAGGTGTATTGATGTTATTAGGGTTGTTAAAATCGGGTTTCGGAACAGGTTCAGGTCCAACCCGAAATTGACTTGGCATTGTCTGATCTAACCTGAACCTGCCCCGTTTTTAAAATTGGGTCATATTCTCAGACCTAATCCTGACCCACCTTGGGTATGAGTCAACCCGACACGACCCGCCTCACACATTTGGCCTTTCGTGGGCATTATAGGGTGTGCAGGACGACGAGACGACGATGGCGAACGGACGACAATGTAGCAATTGCGAACATACCAGATGGTAAACTGCTGTGAGGGATGGCTAGGCATTGATGACGGATCGATACTGCGGTATGTGGGATGGTGAGGATGGCGAATGTGACTAATGCGGATGGTGAACGCAACCCTATGGGCTTAGTGTGGATGGTAGACACAACTAATGTGACATCTCTTCGGACGTGACTAACGCGACGGGATGAACATAGTGGGAAACGATTAGTCTGGGTTAAATCGGGTTGATTTTTGGTTTCCGAGTAAACCCAATCCTGACTCGATTTTGTAAATGGGCTGAAAACTTGAACCCGAACAAGACCCGTATGGTAAACGAGTTGACCCGAACAAAAAAAAAATCGGGTCAGGATTTGAGTCATTAGATTTTGACAACCCTCGATGTTATAAATTTTATTTAAACTATTTTGTAAATGATAGGTATATGATTGATATAACTTATTAATTATTGTTCATTTTGTTACTGATCATTACTCTTAAAATATATAGTTTTACTGATATTTATTCATTATACAATCTATTACTATTTTATTGCTTGTTACATACTTTTATAGTTATATGTTCATACTAATAGTGATTGAATAATTACATGCATACTATTTATATTCCCTTACATTGATTTCATTTGTCGGTTCCAGTAATCTATTGAGTTGTTTGTTCACTATATGGTTTTACATGTTTTCAAGAAAATGTCAGGATCTAGTAGAGTGAGAACAAATATTAGATTCAAGTTTTATTATATTTTTGCATTTTCTCTATTTTTTTAGTCAGGAGCTTAGAAAGTTGAAATGAATGTAATATTGATTGATCTCGTGACTTCTATACATGAATTTTGAGGGATGCATAAAGTTTTATACTTCGATGCATATGATATTTAATTGCTTCCAATGGATTGATTTATATTAATGAATTCATAGAAGCTCAATTTGATTCATTTAGAGGTTAAAATCGACAAGTCTTTCAAAATTAGACTTTGGAGTGTTACATTGAGTATCATATTTTGGGTGGCATTCAACCATTTATAATAGCTGTGGTGGGCATTTAAGATAGAATAGAGTATTTATCCATCAAAGAGACAAATATATTTTCCCATTTCCTCTCCCGAGAGATTTAATAGGCCACACCAGTGCCATTCACATGCTTTCTATATAAAAGGGAAAGAACGACTCAATGGGAGCGATAATAACGTAGAGAGCAACGCCATAGTTATGGATATATTTGATAAAGATAGGACCTTTCTATGCTTCATATAACTTAACTATGTAATGTTAGATTCTAATAGTGATAGTGATGAGTGCCCCTTGAGTTCAAATGGCATATAAATACTTCTGATTTCTCATTTGGCACATTTCAGTTTTTTTTTATGATAGTGTTTATGTTGATCTAATTCCATAACACCACATCAATCGAGGAGTTACACACCTATTCAGGCACCTCTCTGGGGGTAGTATGAAGAACAAAATCATACTCTATTTTCATGTTGATTATGTTTTTTTGTAATGGTACATATGTAACTAAATTTTAACTTGATTATGACATTGAAATGAAAAACATTCCTACTTATTATTGATATGTGTACAACATGTCTTTCCTAAATGTTAACAAACACAATGGTTATCTTGCTAGCACTTGACCCTTAAAACAATATATGTATAAAATTATTGCGCCCCATAGTTTCCTAGGTTGGTCAAGATTTAGGTTACTACTGATTCTTGAACAATGTTTTACTATATATAAATCTATTAGTAGCTCTCCTCATATATTTATGACTTCGAATGAGGAAGACAAAGAGAAGACATGCTGATACCTAATGCCCCTTAAGAATTTGAAGAAAACTAGTTAGAAAATATCATGACTTAAAACAACCTTCTCCACTAATATATATATATATATTATATATATATATATATATATATTAGATATATATATAATAAAGTATATAATTATGAGTGATTATGAATTATATTTCCATACTCAGTACATTTGTATTGAAATAAAAATTTGTTTATATCTATTAAAAAACATAGCTATTATTTTATTAAATTCATATGAAGTCAAATTTCATATAGAGGTGATTTACCATCTCCGCTATTACTCCCGTCGGGGTTTCTGTGATCGAAGCTCTGGCGAAGCACCGGCCCTCACTCTAATGGATCTGCCTGTCTCCGATCTCGGCCCTATCAGAAATTCTGGCGCCGCCTCTTTATCATGCCCTCACTGCGACGCTGAGCTCGTCCACAAGATTGCCCAACTTCTCCTTCCCGGCCTCGCCACTGCCTGTGTTGACTCCACCACCGGCGATTTCTTCCGCACCCCCGCCATCGTCGCGGTCGATATACGCAAGGAGATGGTCGATTACCTCAACCACCGCACCGAAACTTACATCTCCGATCTCCTCCTCGCCCATGAATCCCCTGGCGACAGCAGCGCTAACCACTCCGAACCCGTCGACATTATCTCAGACCTAATCGAAGACTTCACCGCCTCCAAACGCAACATCTTTAGCCGCGTCTCCGGCTGGATCCTCAGCGACACTCGCGACGACAGGATCGATGACTTCGTCCAAGAAATGGATACGAATCGTTTTTGGTCGATCGACCGCCGCGAGGTGATCTCCGAGGTTCTGCTTCGAAACCTAGATTATAAAAGTAAGTCGCATTGCTCGATGAGATTTGATGAAGAGCGGGAGCTGGAGGTGCATAGGAGGGAGTGTGAGTTTCGGCCAGTAGCTTGTGGGAATGAGGGGTGTAAGGTGAAGTTCTGCGCGGTGCGTGAGGAGGAGCATGACGGGGCTTGTGCGTACAAGGTGTTGTCATGTGATCAAAAGTGTGGGGAGATGGTATTGAGAAGGGAGATGGATCGGCATTGTGTTACTGTGTGTAAGATGAAGTTGACGAATTGTCCGTTTTATCAGGTTGGTTGCGAATCTGGGATTCCAAGGTGTAGGGTTGAGGATCATTGTAGGGATGAGCTGCAGAGGCATTTGATATGTGTTCTTCCAATTATTCATCGGGATGAGGTTGGGTTGGAAGATGCGTGGAAAGAGCGTGCTACAGCGCTGGCAGAGGTATAGTTTTTTTTTTTTTTTTTTTTTTTTTTTTTTTTTTTGGTTTTCAGTTTTGCATATCATTTGCCATATTATTCTTTTTTTGTCACTCAAACCAATGCATTTAAATCACGTGAGAAGCTTTGATGTTCTTATATTGAGTTCCATGTATTGTTACATAAGCTTGCGTGTGCGTCGTTACATCTTATTTAGTGTAGAGCAGAAATGAACGCATAATGAGGATTAACAAATTTTGTACACCAATGTTTATCTAGATTAGATTAATCAAGTCATCATGCAAGCCCCACCCGGTTCAACAAGCCGCTAGTTGTGAACTCACTCGGTGCTCACCCAAAAACTCTACTTGCTTGGTGTCAATAGTGGTCAAGTTGCTCATGAGGAATCGTACGTACCCTAAGGAAAATCAGTAAGAATCATATCTCATTTACTCGCCCAAGTAGTAACCCTAATTCGGTCCTTAGTACTAAGCTGTTGAGCTCACCACCAAGGATGCCTAGTCGCTTTGGCTTCTCATCCAAAGAATTGGACTGCTCGTCAAGAGTTCTTGCCCTCAATTTGGAACAAATGCAAAGTTCTCAGTTACTGGATTGCTGTTAGCCAAACTTGTTTGTGAAACAACAAGCTACATAGAGCTCAATAAATATAATTCTTTATTATTTCCATATGTCACCAATTTTATTTTACAGACCTTGATTCATGTCTACAAATAGGGATTTACTAGCCATGTGTATACATGAGTGGATTATGTACTTTTGGAGTCAAAAGAATACCCTATTAATATTGAATAAAGATCTTCCTTCGAATTCTTTAGTTATCTTTCTTCTCTCTCTTTCCCTTATGTGCTTGTTATGAATTTCTTGAGAGGAAGAAGAGCTCTTCTTGAGCTTCTTGGAAGAGAGAGAGAGAGACAGGGAAGGGAGAGAGGGAAGCTTTACTGATTTATATTGGGGTTATTTCAATTACACATGATGTGGTGTCCTTCAAAGTAACATAATCTAAACCTGAGCCAAAACCTAACAATCTCCACCTTGGCCCAGATTTTATAATTTAAGATCGAAGAAACACCCATTAACAAGAACTCGCGCTTGCTACAATTCGACCAATTCCCTGCACTAACTCCACGAACAAATCCATCGAGCTAAACCCAATCCTACTCTTCTACAACATCCACTGTGTGTTCTAATCCACGGCTCCAACTCACGTTCGTGTGTTCTGATCCACGCTTACATGTGCTTATCGTTGTTCCTCCTGTGATCCACACCCTTGTGCTTTGTGTATTGCCTGCTCCTATGCGGCACACCTGCGCTCTATCACCGAGCACACTTCGACTCTCCATTCTTCCCCAGGCACTTGTGCTTGTTTCGACCTGCAACTTCTCATGAGCCACCCGTCCGATTCCGAGTCCTTAACCAGACTATCTTTGCGAGATTCTTGATCTTGCTTTTGTCTCTGCTACTCTGACACACCAAATCTAAATGACATTGCCGATCTGCCTACTTTCCAACCTGGAGACTTCACCTCAAAATATCTTTGATTCATTACTTTTGTCTCCGCTGCTCCGATTCCGACAAAAATTGATTTGCAACGCTAACTCGCAACTCCGACCCGCTTGTGACGAGTGTGAACCATGCGTCCAGGGGCGGATCCAGCTTCTTTTTTCAGGGTGGGCAAAAAAAAATTTTTGTGGGGGATGACAAAGATGCTTAGGATTGATTAAATGAGGGTAAACAAATTTTTTGAGAGGAGGCAAAATACCCAAAATATCCCTCTAAAATTAAAAAAAAAAAATTTTTGAGTGGGGGCTTCTCTCATCTCTCTCTCTCTCTCTCTTCTCTTCCAAGAATGCAAGAAGGCTCTCTTCCTCTAATGAAAAATTCATTAACAAGTGGTATCAAGCGGGGCTAGGATCAGAAGCGGTTGTGTGCTGTGTCAGCGTGGCCCGTGGTTGTTGTCTGAAGGCGAGGTCAGAAACCAGGTGCCGAGCTGTGTTCGTGGTGCAGGAGAATGCAGAGTCGCGTTTCATAGGCGGGCCAGCTATATGTGTGGTTGCGGAAGATCAAAGAGGGTGTGCAAGTTGGCAAGAAAGGGTCGAAAGCAGGTTGGCTGCCTAGATGCAAGGTCGGTTGTGGCATTACGATAGTCCGGAGGGCAGCTAGTTGATGCAATGAGCACGCATGAGAGGTAGTTGCATGGATCAGGTGTGTAACGGGCATGCCAACAGAGTTCATGCGGGATTAGTCATAAGGACGGCATGCGGCGACTCTCGCAACGTGATTGCGATCCGGGAGGCTGGCGCAAGGACCGAGGCAGGCGAAGGCTATGCGGTTCTGAACCACGCATCGACGCATGGTGTCACACTCGTCACAAGTGGGTCGGAGTGCGAGTTAGCGTTGCAAATCAATTTTTTGTCGGGAAGTCGGGCAGCGGAGACAAAAGTAAATGAATCAAATTATTTTGGGTGAATCTCCAAGTTGGAAAGTAGGCAGATAAGGCAAGGTCATTCAGATTTAGGTGTCAGAGTAGCGAGACAAAAGCAACGATCAAGAAGTACTTCAAAGATCAGTCTCGGTAGGACTCAGAATCGGACGGGTGGCTCATGCGAAGTTGCGGGTTGAAACGAGGCACAAGTGCCTGGGGGAACAGAATGGAGAGTCGAAGATGGCCTCGGTGATTAGATGCGGCAGTGTGTGCCGATAGGAGCAGGCAATACACAAAGCACAAGGGTGTGGATCACATGAGAGACAACCGATAAGCAACATGTTAAGCGTGATCAGAACACACAGGACATGAGTTGGAGCCGTGGATTGAACACACGTGGGTGCTGTAGAAGCAGTTATGGATTGGCTTAGCTCGTGGATTTGTTCGTGGAATTACGTGCAGGGAGTTGGTCGAATTGTAGCAGCCGAGTTCTTGTAATGTGTTCTTCCGATCTTAAATTTATAAAATCTGGGCCCAAGGTGGAGATGTTAGGTTTGTTCAGGTTTAGATTATGTTGCTTTGAAAGAACCCACATCATGTGTAATTGAAATACCACAAATAAACAGTTTAAAGCTTCCTCTCTCTTCCCTGTCTATTTCTCTTCCAAGAAGCTCAAGAAGAGCTCTCTTCCTCTCATAGAAATTCAATTAACAAGCACATAAGGGAAAGAGAGAGAGAAGATAACTAAAGAATTACGAGAGGAAGATCTTTTATTCAATATTAATAGGGATTCGCTTTGACTCCAAAAGCAATAATACCACTCATGTCATATTACATGGCTGTAAATCTCCATATTTGTAGACAAATGATTCAAGGTCTGCTAAAATAAAATTAGGTGACCACTATGAGAATAATAAGCGATTATATTATATTGAGCTCTATGTTAGCTTGTTGTTTCACAAACAAGCTCTTGGCTAAACAGCAAATCAGAACTGAGAACTTTGCCATGAGTTCCAAATTATGGGAAGAACTCTTGACCGAGCAGTCCAATTCTTTGGCATGAGAAGCCTAAAAAAGCGGAACCTGGCCATACTAGAAAAAGAAAAAAAAATTCCTGGGTGAGTAAACGCTTAGTACTAAGGACCGACATTAGGGCTTACTACATGGGCGAGTTAAATGAGATATATATTCTTACTGATTTTCCTTAGGGTACGTACGATTCCTCATGAGCAACATTTGACCACTATTGACACCAAGCAAGTAGAGTTTTTGGTGATACACCGAGTGAGTTCAACAATAGCGGCTTGTTGAACCGGGTTGCGGCTTGCATGTATGACTTGCATTAAATCTAATCTAGATAAAGCCATTGGTGTACAAAATTTGTTAAATCCCTCATTATCGCGTTCATTTCTGCTCTACACAGAATAAGATGTAACGACGCACACGCAAGCTATTAACAAATACATGGAACTCCAATCATAAGAAATTCAACAGCTTCTACGTGATTTAAATGCATTGGTTTGAGTGACAAAAAAGCATAATATGGCCAACATATATGCAAAACGAAACCAAAAAAAAAAAAACCGATACCTCTGCCAGCGCTGTTTAGCACGCTCTTCCACGCATCTTCAACCAACCTCACATCCAGATGAATAATTGGAAGAACCACATTATCAAATGGCCTCTGCAGCTCATCCCTAACAATGCTCCTCAAACCCTACACCTTGGAATCCCAGAAGATTCGCAACAAACCTGAATAAAACGACAATATCATCAACTTCATTACACACAGTAACACCAATGACCGATCCACTCCCTTCGCATACCATCTCCCCACACCTTCCTTGATCACATGACAACACCGTTGTACGCACAAAGCCCCGTCATGCTCTTCTCACGCACCGCGCAAGAACTTCACCTTACACAACCTCATTCCACAAGAGCTACTTGGCCGAAACTCACACTCCCTCCTAATGCACCTCCAGCTCCCGTTTCATCGAAATCTCATCGAGCCAAATGCGACTTCACTTTTACAATCAAGGTTCGAAGCACGAAACTCGGAGATCACCTCGCGGCGGTCGATCGACCAAAACGATTCGTTCCATTTTCGTGGACGAAGTATCGATCCTCGTCGCGAGTGTCGCTGAGAATCCAGCCGGAACGCGGCTCAAGATTGTTGCGTTTGCGAGGCGGTGAAAGCTCTTCCGATTAGGTCTGAAGATAAAGTGTCGACGGGTTCGGCAGTGGTTAGCGCTGCTTGGCCAAGGGGATCTATGGGCGAGGAGGAGATCGGAGATGTTAAGGATTCTGGTGCGGTGGTTGGAGCGTAATCGACCATCTCCTTGCGTATATCGACCGCGAACCGATGGCGGGGGTGACGGAAGAAATCGCCGAGTGGGGTGGAGTCAAACAGGCAGTTGGCGAGGCCGGGAAGGAAGAAGTTGGGCAATCTTGTGGAAGCAGCCAAGCGTCGCATGGGGGCATGAATATAAAGCCGGCCAGAAATTTTTGATAGGGCCGAGACTCGCGAAACGGGCAGATTCCTCTAGAGTGAGGGGCCGGTGCTTCGCCGAGCTTCGATC